ATAAACATTAAGAGCAACAAAAACCTTTACATAAGCAATGTAAAACTTGGTCATCGATCAACCAGTATATTTTTACTTGAAAAAAAAATATAAGATAACACAGAGTCACGCTGACAATAACACAACAGAAACTTCGACATAACGTTTTGAAGAATAGTATGTTTCATGAACACAAGAAGTGCTGTTATAGTTTTCTCTAAAATTTTCCAACATGTTGGATCAATTTGATCCAGCAGGAAGCAGTTTTACACGGTAAAGTTTGTTGACGAAAGTGAGTTCATCCGAGAAATTGATCGAGCAACATGACTCACTAAATGTGACTTTTCACAAGTATTTTTTTCCATATTAGTAAACAGGAAATTTATAAATCTTATCTTAATTGCCAAGCGGGGATGCCCAGAAGGAGGTTTCATGCCGCAAGTTACGCCATCAAAATTTTTAGGGGAACATATTTCGAGGGTATTATGAATTTTCGAAATGAAAAGTTTAAAACCAGGTTACAAGAAGAAAGTATAGAACAGACCAGTGAAAGCGTAGTTTATATGAACTATGATTCTCGAAATTATACTTTAACTTGCACTGTTATTCATAAGAGGAGAGCAATAAAATATTTTGGGAAAAGGGAAGGAGTTCATGCGGATCCACCATGGGGGGGGGATGGGACAGATGGGCACCACTTATATGAGAGTCAAATCTATTTTGGAATAGTATTTTAATGTATGAGAAAAATAATAACCCTGAAGAGTCCCTCTTCTGTATTCCATCAACATCAAAATTCTCATGGTCGGATCTAACAAAATCCTCCCATCTAGGTTTATCTCTGATTATCCTTATAGTGAGTGATCCTTTTGCTATCTGTCCCGAAAATATTATAAACCTTTTTGAATCGCCAAGATGAGAATCACTCCAATTATATTTACCGAGTTAAGATCCACGCAATTCGGCATTGTGTAGCGATCTAAATTCTAAATTCTGATTCACGATTCTTCGGTTTTTCGTGCAAAAGGTCCAAGTTAGTTGACAAGGAGGAGATTGCTATTAGGAAACTCGTAGCGTTATACAAAATCAATTCTTATCTTAAAGGATTCGGTTGTTTGACAAGTCAAGAGATCCTTAGAAAATGGGACATGCCATGTATAGAAAACAAATATCGAATATATATATATATATATATATATATATATATATATATATATATATATATATATATATGTATATATTCGATATTTGTTTTCTCTACAAATATATATATATATATTTTTTTTTTCTTATTTTTTTTAAATTTGTCATATCTAGTTCCTCTATTTACTATTTGTACTCATAGTAGATTTTATCAGTTGTCCTAGATTCAGGTTCTTGGTTAGTAGAGAACCTGTTATGTAATTTATTATGTCATGGTTCACGATTGATTCCTGAATCAATTCATTAATAATACTTTCACTGTAGTTACTGAGATCGTCTTTGCGTATTTATTCAGTTTAATACTTTATTCAAATACTCGTAAAAAGAAAAAAAAAAAACTTTTTTAGAGTGGACAGTCCTTTGAGTAATATTCACAATATTAACTTCAACCATAAAACATCCTTTGAACGAAGTTAAAGCTGCGGAAAATTAAATCGTGAGTTATTAATTATACACAAAATTGAAGATGAAACAAGATCAAAGATAAATTTAGGTTAGTGAATAATGCGAAGTATTAAAGTGGGTAAAATGGTAGAAACAAAATAATGTAAAGAACGAGTAATAGAATTAATAATATTTCAAAATTAATTACATACAATACTAAAAATTAGAGATAAATTATTTGAAGAGTAGGTTTTGTTAAAGATTTTAATCAATTGTGTCATTCTACTTAGAAAACAAAATTAGTCATTAAAATTCTTACAAAATGAGCAATGAACAGTTATAATAAATTAATTAATATTGCGTAATAGTTTTATATTGTTATGTTTATATCTAATAATTAAAATATTTGTAAAATTAATAAAATAATCAAACTTATTTAATCCGGAACTTCTTCCTAAATCATTTTTCTCTTGATAATATTAAAAACTTGAAATAATACTGCATCCTAAGAAGAGTTAAGAGCGGATTGAAAGTTATCTATTAGATTATAATTACAACGTAAGCTATTATCAAACATTTACTTATAAAATTAACAATTAATTGAAATAGCTAAATTAATCAGATTAAAATAAGATGATAGACTTGAGCATACCAAATTTTTACACCTCTAAACCTAAATAAGACAGAACTTAAAATAAGTATTAAAAAAAAACTGACATAACCATGGATAAACTTCTAAAAATATACCAGAAAGATTCGTGTTCAATGCGTGACTTCTAACGCTAATTACACAAGTCATGAATTTAAATTTGTTCCTAACGATCACAGTAATGGAATATGCTAATTACTTAGAGCACATAAATAAAGGAAATCCTGATAAAACATAAAGAAAAGATAAAAAAAAAAAAAAAAAAAGACACAATTCATAATCAAATTATGTTAAAAAGAAAAATTAAAATTATTAGTTCATGGTCTTCTTTTCGTTTTAAATTATATGTAATTGTTTACGTATTTATATAGATAATTGATACATTATAAATATTTATATTAGTTGACTGAAAAAAAATCTCAATGAATGCTAACGTTGGCGTTTTAAGATTTTTTTTTCTGTAGGAGAAACTTCGCTCGGAACTAGACCATCCTTGATATTTTGGCCTTAGACTGGTCCATGGATTTTTAAAATGGTGAGTCTTTTTGGTCAGGATGGGCGATGTTTGTATCACGACATCTAAGACCTTCATGATATGAGTAGAGATCCAAGTCTTTAAATTTTTTTTTATTCTAGCTAGTTCTAGTTGCATAAAAAAATATATATATCCGTAAAAATATTTACAGGAATTTTACAGTAGGAAAACTCACAAAAAAATGCATATTTAAAAACATTTATTTATTGAATTCACAACTCTAGTCAGTGTAAACAGAACAATAAAAAATAAATGAACAATTTCTCGAAAACAACCCGATGGTAGCACTCTCCAGATAGTTCCAAGTTAAAAGATCTCGAGACCATCTTATTTTCAGAAGCGTATGGGGAAGAAATCAGGTTGAAAACAAATAGAAATGGAAGGGTCTGAAATTTATCAAGAAAGAATAGGTTTTCGGTACATAAATATTTTATTTGTCATGAAATATAGAGTATTAAGGATTTTGGATTGTAAGAATTGGATACGAGAGGAAGTCGTAATTTCGTGGAAACCTAAAGTTCAATTCCGGAAGTCCAATTAGAGGCCTTATCATGGTCATGTAAATGAGCCTTTTGTAATTAATAAGAGCGTTGTCGACAAAGAGACAGATTTTCCATTCTGGTTGGAAAGAGAGGGGAGAGAAGGGTCTATGGACCACCTCCAAAAACAGTCACAACTTCAAAAATTGTTATCCCTACCCTCCCATCTTTTCAAATTACCCCTAAAACAGTATTAAAATAATCTATCACTCACCTGAAGTTAATCAGCAGCCTGCTTGTATTTTGGTTCTGGAGCCAAAAATATAAACATTTTTATTATATTTTTCAAATTAAAGTTAAGGCCTGTCAAAATGTTAGACACGCTCCCCGGTAAAAAGTAAATAAAACTCATTTTAATACTCCCTGGCCTTTCCACCACCATTTATTAATTAAAAATTCTGTTTGGTGATGAATCATACAATTGTTTGATTGTTTCTTGAGGTTATTGTTCCCATGAATTGTAGATTTTAAATCCTCGATTGTATCGAACTGCCTTGACTCAAAGTAAACCCTTCATGAAAGAGTTCCCCAAACATTTTCGATAATGTTCAGGCCTAGGTGATAAAATCATCATATAAAAATGGAAGTGTATACATTAATGAATCATAAAATCCTAAGATATATTGCTACATATATAACTAGATCCATGATTAATCTATGGATATAAACTGAAATTTCAATAATAGGAACCTTTCCTGACTGCTCCAATACTTACAAGACAAACGCTCTAAACTTCCAATTAATTAAGACTCATCTACTTCCAAAAGAAGACCTATATGGACATACGGAGTTGAGCTATGGGACTCAACTAAACCATCGAATTCCTATCGTATCCAATCCTTACAATCCAAAATCCTTCGAAAAATCCTTAATGCTCCATATTTTGTCACAAATAAAACCCTTCATAAAGACCTTAATGTTCCATATGCCGCTGATTTAGCCCGAGCCAGATACTTATCCTTTCATGATAAACTCCATTCCCACCCGAATCCACTTGTTTCCAGCCTTGCTTCTTCCTCGATTCCTGATAATCTCCCTAGGCATCTGAAAAGAAGATGGCCTCATGATCTTGCCTAGAATTAAATAGGGAGTGCTACCACTGGGCAGTATCTTTTCAAGTCTGTTCATGTCGTTATTTCTAATGTGTGCATTTTTACTAGTTGGTTGTATTGTTTATACAGTTGTAAATTTCATTAAATAAATAAAAAAATAATAAGAACATAAGGCGCAGTAAAATACTTGCGTATTTACTTCTAAGCCTTAGCCTAATCGTCTAGTTGACTTTTTTTATTTCCTTAATTGATATAAGTTCTTTTCTTAATTTTATTCATTCATGTAGGTTAATAATTTTTGATTTTATATTTGTTTTTCGAAATATTAGAGAGGTGAAACGATATTCTTGCCCCTCTCTATTTTTATTAGGGGAAGGGGGAGGGAAGCAGCCTGTATGAGGATTTCAAGTCATTTGTCCGGGTGGAGTCCTAAGCAGCGGATCTATTCAACAGAGATAAGTGGAATATTATTGAAGGATACTATAGTACAGAAGTCAGAAGTTTACGACGGAGGGTAAAGGTGATTGATTTGGTTAGATTTCTTGTAATTTATATTTATTCTTCCAAGTTTGTGGTGCGTGATAACAAGGTTTTGGATGCAATTAATACGTCTTTATTAACGAATGGCAATGGTCAATATGAATTTGAATTTTTAAAAATTATAAGACGAACTATAACTTGAAAAAAAAAGATAATAAGATTTTTTAAAAGAAACGGCGAGACATCCAGACTGTGTCGAAGTGCATACCATTGAGGAGAACGGAGTTCGCGGCAGAGCAGCGTAGGCAGCCTTAGAAAGCAGAGCCAGGCCTTCCCATTGAGGTATATGCAAATCACTTCCCACTTCTTCCTCCAGTGTCGGGGCATAAATGATTACACCAGTCGCTACCAGCAACCACGGCACAATTAGCACCAGCTCCGTCTTGCTCAAGCAGCAACCTTTGTTCGATACATTTCGTTTTGAACGGTTCATTCATGAGCGATGTTAATGAAAGCTGATGAAGTATAGGTTAATAATGGAAAATATTTAAAGTTGAGATAATATACCACTTTTTTTTTTTTTGTTATATAGGTAACTAACCAATTCTTAAAACTAACCATGGTAAATTGGACCAAACTTCCTTCAAATGAAATCCATTTTGGGAGACAGCAAAATTTTCTAACGTCTATATAATCTATAATCTAACAATAGTCTATGCTCCGTTCTATGTAACCACCAAAACCCTACACCATGACTTTAATATCCCATTTGTCCTTGACCTTATCCCTGAAAGATTTTCTAAATTCCATCAGAACCTTATCAATCATCCGAATCCCCTATCACAATCCCTATCTAATTCCTCTCATCCCTACAACCCTCCTCGAAGGTTGAAGCGGCTGTGGCCCAGAGATCCTTTGTAGTATATATCTTGGAGTTCTGGCAATGGCCAGATTTTCCACTCAACAAGACATGTGTGTATGTGGCTAAAGCGCTCTCGCTCAAACTCCACTGGCTTTAGTGGTGTTGTATTGTATATAGGTGTGACTGTGTTTTTATGTTTTTAATTTACTTATCTTTAGGTTATTTTATTTTTTATAGTACATAGTTTTTTTTATTATTATTTTAATTTTATATTAGGGCACTAAGCATCCAATGATCAAGGTTCCAGGTTCCAGCCCCGGCTCATGGCATAAAAAATTAGAAATTCTGTTACATTGGCTGTGGGGCGATCCTGAGATCGGAGACACTCCTGGGGCACACCCAGCCTCGATAAAGTAGCCATAATTAAATAATTAATTAAGGGAGAAAACCTGGCTGTAGACCGTGATCTCGGTCAAACCACCTCCTTACACAACCGTTGACCAAGAAACAATGCTTTCCCTAAATATTACTGAGCTCAAGACCCTTCATGAGTTGTAGTGGTAAAGGTTTTCTTTTTTTTTTTTTTTTAAGCAATAGTAAGTTCTATTAAAGTTGTTGAAGAAATTTAAGAATCGAAATTGGAATATATACTGCCATATTTTAGATTTATACCTGCTATTATTTTACATTTAATGTTGGAACAGCGTTACAATGTAAGACATCACCATACACTACGAAAAAGGTCGGAGGAATTCAACATCAAAACAACCAAAAGAGGGCCATGGTTAGTGTAAGCTCATTGATATTCAGTCCACGTGGTGGGTATCAGTTGCATAGGGTCAAGGCTGACATTTCGTTGTGCTAAAACTACTGATTCAGGAGTTTATTTATGTACATGTAAGGAAGTTTAGTAGTTTAGTAAACGTATAACTAATTTCCTACTAAATGTCCTCATGTTATCTTAAAGAAAGACGAGAAATCATTAAGAGAAGAATAGAAACAAAACAGACTCCATTCAAACAATATGATAGTATACCTGCAAAAGTTAGTAGCGGATTCAGGATTTTTTTTTGATTTTTTTCTTTGGGGAGGGAGGAACTTATATATTTGAATTGATAAATATAAACCATAACATAATAACAATTTAATATAAATATATTAATATTATAAGATAAAGAATAAAAGAGCGAAAGTGTTACCTATTGAGATTAGTGTTGGCCAAAACTAAGATTGGTAAAAAAAAAAAAAAAAAAAAAAAAAAATAAGGCAAAATAGTAACGAATACTTGACAATTTTATTTACTATATGTAAAGAATTGATAGAACCAATATACATTTGCATTTAACTCTTACAATTTTTCATTCGGGCTTAGTGAGGTTTCCCGTATCTGAAAAATTACAGTAGTATCTCTCTAGTAATAAGCTAATAGATGACTACAAGACTGTTGAATGACTCTTGCGCAAGACCAAGACTAGTTTTGATCTCGCAACACTAATTGAGATGGATAAAGACAGGAAGTACAGGAAGCGATGGGCTTCGGAAAGAGAAAAAGCAGCTGCTTGACAGAAGTAAATCACATCGATTTTATTTACTCGGTTATTCTAAATATACTAAAGAAATAGCTAAATTATTTTTCACAGAGGCCAATTTTTGTATTGCTTCTACTAAACCTATTGCTTAAACTTGATAAAAGAAGAAGAAAATAAAGATAGGAAAAAAGAATTTCTTTTTAAGTGGCAAACATTTTTCTGGCAAACATGTGGCAAACATTCTTTTTAAAAACATCAAGAATTCCATATTAAGATACAACCGATATCCGTGAGAGGAAATGAGAAAATTATCTTCCAAGCTAATGAGAAACTAGTTAGTTGTCAGTCGCAAGGAAGCGAGTCACGCCATTTACCCAGAAAGCTTAAAGGAAAAACACCGCTTGAGAACAATAAAGAAAAATAATAAAACAAAGAGAAGACCCCAGAAGGAGAATCATGTTGGATACGAGATTCTAGTTTGGAACCAACAAGCGACAGATGGAATGGTTCCTCCATAGAGAGGATATTAACCGAGGAAGGTCGTTGAGCGAAGAGAAAGGCCCTTGTCCACGGAGGATGGGCCGTGAAGAGGATGACATCGCCGGGAATAGCTTCTGGACCGTTCGATGCGGCGAGGAATGTCGGTACCGCAATGCCGCAAAATCTGTCCAAGGAATACTTTCATAAATCGCGGTCTGTTCTCTTTGACTGCAGACCATGGAGGCCTGGGTTCGATGTCTTCAACGTCAACTTGTGGTGAAAACAGAAAATCATTTTTCTGGATCCATTGGACATCTAAGTACTTCAACTTTTGCTTCTCAAAAAAATTTAAAACTCTCTTATTAACACCACATACACACACTTTAAAACAACTTCAATAAAAATCACTATCGAACCATTCTTGTTTATACATTGTTTAACGAAGTTATTATTTGAATACCGTTATTAAAATGTTGCTTATTATATTAAATAGAATTTATTATTTCGAAATATCTACATATCAAATATGTATGGCAAATCATACTAAGTTCATTAACACATTATGAAAAATTGAATATAAAAGGTGTTTGCTTTAGCCTGGAATATTAGCGCGCTTTAGAATATTTTTTAAATAATATGTTAAGGGTAACAATAAATAAACAGTAGCTAAATTATTTAATAAAAATAAACATGGTGTCCTTTATCTCCGGGGCACAGAAATGATAACATCAAAAGTTTCTATACCTTCTTAAGTGACCCATAAACTTTTGAATTTGTAGATTGAAAAATAGTTGGTCTTTGAACTAAGATACTGAGAAAGCTATACGAATAACGGATTTTAGCACAAATTACAAATGATTTTTCAAAAGAAACAGTTCTGGAAGATGATCAAATCCAAGAGGTTGACATCTATTTAAGGGATAGGTAAAAGAACCTACGGTAATATAGGTTTCTTTTTTTTTATAGTATTGGTAAAGGAAGGAACCTACATATATGGGTTTGTAGTTACATAATTTTAAACGGTATACTCGAATATATTTATTTAGTATATATCACATGCAGATTTAAATAAAACCACATGAGCCCTCATCTCGTAAACAGTATATCAACATGACCAAAAATGGAGAGGTGAATCATCCGAAGGGTTCCGAAAACTTTGGAATATTTTATAATGTAAATGTCAAATCCTCCACTTTGGTAGGACAATACGGATCCTTGGAAATTACGAAACGAGACTAAAAATATCATCACAAATCGAAAACACGAGGCAAATTAAAACCTAAAGTAATTTGTTTTCTTGAAGATTTAAAGAAGAGAAATAAACAGTGACATTTTAATGGCCAAGAATTTTCCAATAATGTACTACTCAATGTTCCAAGAACCCATTAAGGAGAAGGGAAAATTATCAAAAAAGACTTATTTGGTCATAAGAGTTTAAATATTATTTAATCTCTCTCTCTCTCTCTCTCTCTCTCTCTCTCTCTCTCTCTCTCTATATATATATATATATATATATATATATATATATATTATATATATATATATATATATATATATGAACAATACAATAATACATTACAAGTTTCTATTAAATTATTCTCTTTAAACTAAACAACAATATACAAATTTTAACGTCTTTTTGATGCTCCTTGCACCAAAAAAAAAAGATATATGTACAATATCTTGTGTATTGAACCAAAACCAAATGATAGCCACATTTATGCAATAATATCAAAGAAATAGAGGAATAACATGCATTAATAAAAAAAAAAATGAATGACTTTATATTTTAATATTATTTAACCATAACCTGTACCACTACAACCCATGAAGGGTCTGGGGTTCAGTACTATTTAGGGAAAGCACTGTTTCTAGGTCAACGGTTGTGCAAGGAGGTGATTTGACCGAGATCACGCTCAACCGCCTGGTCCCCCAAAATTAATTATTTAATTAAGGGTACCCACTTTATAGAGGCTGGGTGTGCCTCAGGAGAGACTTCCTGGCCCAAGGTCGCCCCACGGCCAATGAAACAGATAAATAAATTTTCTGCCATGAGCCGGGGTTCGAACTCGAGACCTTTGCATTGGAAGCTCAGTGCCCTACCACTGCGCTACCCCGCTCCCTTTTAATATTATTTAAGCCTTTTTAAATGTTTTTTTATATATTTTTTTATAGATATTTCTAGCGGGAAAAACTATAATATCTGTACAGATATCGAGCTAATTTATTCCAGAGTAGGTGATTGCAGTGCTGAAATATCCAACTGTTTATTTAATTGTACTACTCGTTGCTCAAATTGTATAACTGTAATTTACATGTATTCTGTAGTTCAGATTGTATTATTTTTTATCAACATAAAATAAACGCAACGAAACCACAGTTCGATTAAATTTTTAATTCCTTTAAAAATCAATATTATACATCGCGCCTTATTGCCGATTTAAATTATTATATAATTATAGTTATTCTCAATGCCAATTTGTAACCATCATAAGAGAGAAGTAATTCTGGAAATAAGAAGTGTGATGTCTTCGTTGCGGTCCGTCCCGCTTTGTATATGTAAAATAAAATATGGCACTGCCACTAAAAACATATTTTTAAATTTTTATACAATAGAGAGATAATAACAGCAGAGTATTTCCACAAATGCCAAATCATAAATCATTACGTAAAGAAATTTTCCGTTTGTTTTGGACGGCCCAATCCACTTGATACCATAGATATATATATATATATATATATATATATATATATATATATATATTATATATATATATATATATATATATATATATATATATATATGATTTAAATATTTTTGGAACGACTTTTTTCTTTTTTTTTTTATGTTCTATAATTGCTCCGTTTATATTTCCAATACATCGATAATCAATTGATAGCCTTATCGTCGGTTGATAACGAATTGATATCATTCAATGAAGCCGCCGATAAGAGGTGATCAAAACCTCTCAAATTTATGTCGATGAGATTAACCCAAGTATTTATTGAGGTTATCTTTACGATCGAATAATAATAAAAAAAATATATATATTTTTAATTCGAGCAATGTAATCACAAGTTGGATCAGGTAAGAATAATAAAGCCATAATAGGTTAAAGATTTAAAATAACTTTGAGATATAAACAATTTAAAAAAAAATCTATTTGAACAGTTTTCAGATTTTTTTTTAAAACAAGTTTTAATATAAAAACGCTTCAAATTATTTCACAATGGTTTATTATTTTTAATTGTGTGTAAATGGTTGACTGTCGTGAATAATGAAGAGAAGAATAGTTGGGGTGATCAGTCAAATAAGAAGACAAACATAAATGATAATATTTATTTTTGCCTTCTTATTTGACTGATCACCCAAACTATTCTTCTCTTCATCATTCGTTTATTATTTTTAATAAAAAACAAATAAAAAATAAAATAAAATTAGAAATAAAAGGCAATTCACATTATTGGCCTAAACATTATTTTTTCATCATTAGTAATTTTCCAAAAAAAATAGCATAGCAGGAGAACATATGAAAAAATATCTAGAGACAATATCTTTGCTCCAAATTGTCCGATTTTAATGAGTTTTTTTTTTTTTTGCTTAGGAAATTTCGTGAACTTTTAAATAATCATATGCAATATCGTGTATACTACCATATACTTTTTGAGTTATTCGGTTATAAATAAATAAATTTGATTAATTTTACCACCCCCATTACTTTTTCTCCAGCTTCTTTTCGTTGAATTAAGTTATATAGATAAATTTACAGGGCATCGAAAAAAGACTTTAGCCAAGTTTCATTGAAATCGATAGATTCCTTTAGGCGCTTCATTCTATAACACATGCATTTCACCCCCCATCTTGAACATCCTCAGACTTTTATTTATTTATTTTATTAATACTTTTTTTTCTTGGCAGAAGCGGATTTGTTTTAGGAATTTTATGAAGCAACACACAGATAATCCTCATTCTTTCAGCCGTTCCTGTCTTCAAAAATAATCATGGCTTTATAGTTAACGAAGTACGCATAGTTGAAAACTAAGGAGATAATAAATGAATTAATGCGTGCTCATATGAACTGTTCTCGTACACAGGAATTCGTTGTAATTTGAAAATTAAATTTAAAATAATAGTGGATTGATGGTTGACTGTAATGAATAATTGAGAAGAAGTTGGGTTGGTCAGGACTGATCTCAAAAAAGGTTTTCGGTAAGAGGACTATACTTGGTGGAATAAAAATAAACATAATTTATTTATTTTTACCTTTTATTTTTTACTGAACGCCCTAAAGAACGTATCTTCAATAAATTTAAAATAAGTAAGTAGTCTTTCTGTACGTGAATCTTCCAGTCCTTTTGGTAATTACAATAACCAAAAATATGCTAAAGAAAGTTGTCCTTGTTTCTTCTAAGGGCCTTTCTTGTTGGAAAAATTCACTGCGCAAGAGCTCATTGTACTATCAAGATAATATTGTTGAAGAGGAAGCTTTAACGTGTCACTTTTACAAGATATTTTACAGCCGAGATAGGATCGTGGCGGTTAAGACAGACGTTGCGGAGAAAATAGAGCATGGAGGAGGGCCTTTCTAGGGGAAAATGGGTCGCTGCAGTCGGTGCACCCTGGAAAGTATAGGACCGCCTCCCATCGGCCTACATGGAACATGAGGTATGCCGATCATAATAGCAAGGTGAGGAGATAGTAAGTTTATAATGGTACAATAACATGGTCGGATAGTACGTAGTGTTCAAACTATCAGGTATTTAAAGAAACTAGTTTTCATTTTCTTGAGGTAAGAGGGGTATATCCGCCTTCTTTCAGTTATTCCATCATTCAGTCTGGAAGGCGTCAACGAAGATTCAGAAAGAAGTTTTAATGAGGAGCTCCAGAAGATCGAATTGCATGTCTGAAATGTTTTGGATCATATCTCGTCTTTTCGATGAGTTGTATTATTTGCTGTATAATAATATCAGTTATATTATTATTTTTTTATTTACTTCAAAATGAATTTTATCAAAAAATTATTTAGAAAAAAAGGGACCGACACCTGAAAAAAATACTGAGTAGACAGAGAGCGTCTTCAACTTGATGGCTTTAAACTACATTTTTTTTTATGAATATGATACATTTTATATAAGTGATATAAGTGAACAGTATATATATATTTAATAGAAAACTTATAGTACTTCAGGGTAAACTTATCACCTAAATAATCCAACCATATATCTGTTCGTTATAATGGTAATTCCCTTAAATCGACTCCAATATGCATAAGAGTTTATCACAGCGCTTTATTGTGACTGAGAATGATATTTATGGTAAGATTGATTGGCGTTTATGGGTCAACTCTTTTTTAATGCCCAAATAAAATATATATGAAACACAATTTCATAATAATTATTACATCAAATTCAAGGTGAAATGTCTAGATCGAAAAATAACTGCTGTCACATAAGTAAAATCAAATTGCCACCTCCAGATTAATACCATTTCCCTTAAAAATTTGTGGTCTAAAATATGTATTTTGTGTTAGGAGAATACGAGGTTATAGGAGCTGAACGCATATATATGTAATTAAATGAACAGATGTATAATTTGTAAAATAATCGCCTTAGAAGAGCAGCACTACTTGAGCTCCTGTTACCTCCTACTCCCCTAATACTAAAATAAAGTAAACGAAAGTCACTACAAACCTATTTATATAATAGAGAGTTTTTACTCTTCAACTAAAAAGGAAAAAAGCTAACCAGAGAAAGGTGTGGTAGGGCATTGAGCATTCAATAATCAAGGTCCCAGGTTCAAAACCTGGCTCATGGCAGTAAGCCTCCTCAAAAAGTGGGTACACTTAATTAAATAATTAATTAAGGAGGAAAACCTGGCGGTTGCGAGTTATCTCGGTCAAATCACCTCCTTGCAACCGTTGGCCAAGAAACAGTTCTATTCCTTAATAGTACCGAACCCAAGAGCATTCATGAACTGTACTGGTACTACAGGAAACCTGTGCTGCCCTATTTTATAAGAGCTTGATACACAGTAAACTGTGCAATCCCCTTTGATACAGCAATTACAAAGTCGAGATTTATCACTACGGGTCCGCTACAAAATAAAAGTCGAAACTCACAGACGAACATCTTAACCAATATCCAGCCCACTGGATTTGTTATAGATAAAAGAAAAAAGAAAGTATCCAATTATATAGAAATTGTTAATAACCACTGATCGATATGATAGTTACAAGAGTGAAAGTAGGCATTCCCTGAGCGAATTGCTGAGCCCTAATAAAGAGGAAAGGCTGTGAGCTAAGACACCTGATGTAAGAGGTTACTGCACGCCGCTCCGGTCATTAACATTCAAATACGAAGATCTTAGGGGCGATAGTAGTCGCCGATAGCCCAGCTAATCCAACAAGAAAAAATAGTTCGTTCTTCGATACCACCTTTGACAAAACAGAATAGTATAGTATTCTTCAGAAGAATACTCAACTCCTTGAAACCAGCTGACCACGCTAGATATGATCTCTTTTAAAGAGGAAGTATCCCTTCGGTCCTATCTCCTGAAGTGATCCTCCCATTACAGATGTATGACCGAGATATCTCAAGGGACCATTCAAAGGAATCGGAAAACTCGTTGCCTCTAAAAGAGGGTGCTGCAAGTAAGTACGCCGCAAGGGTGTGAAACAAACACGTCTCGTTACTATCGAAAGTAGAGAAGCCATCTTTTACGTCGCGTTTTATGTTAGAGACATAAAGGAACAAATTGGTTTCGCGTCAGGTAATCGTTCAGTCTGTAGCAAAGGCTTAAGAAGAGTATTCACGGAAGAAGTTTTGAGTTTCTATTCTAGGTAAAACGAACCTGGTCCGGCATTCTAGAGTCGCTGCTTTTAAAAATTCCGTATGATTTAAACAATATTAGGAATTATTTTAGTTGTTTTAATTGTATACATAATTTGAAAGGTACAAAATAGAAAAAAAAATGTATTTTCATATAATTTTCTCTTTCTTTCATATTTGTAGTGTATATATTTTCATTTATTTTAATATTTTCCCATGTAATCCTTCTATATTCTCTTCTTAAAATAAAGAACTTAGGCTGAAATGTAGGCAATAGACAAAGTTAGCCGATCTCCAGATTAAAAACGCTCCAATTCCGAGAATTTTCATAAATAAAATATTTGTAGGTTACGATGAGATGAAACTATTTACGAAATTTCAGGCGGATGTTAATAATTCGACATAAAGGGGTCTGGACCACGGACTAGTAAATAGCTTCATGTTATCGTAATTTACAAATATTTTATTTACGAAAATTCTCCAAATTGCGGCATTTTCAATCTGATGATCGGCGAACTTTATCTTAATTAATTAGGTACTAAAACCTCATGAATAACGATTTGCTTTCAAGTTGAATCGTAAGATAACGTAATCACAAATTGAAAAAAAAAAAAGGCGGAATACAAAAATATTGGACTGAATTACTTCGTTATTTTGACATTTGGGGGTAGAGCTCACACCAAACAGCCCAACATTTTTTTCGATTTTGTGATCATACTGACTTACGATTCAAGCAGAAAGAAAATGGATATTTACATGTTTTTAGTACCTAATTAAACAGACAAAGTTTGCCGACCTCCATATTGAAAACGCCTCAATTCCGAGAATTTTCGTTAATAAAATATTTGTAGGTTACGATGAGATGAAGCTATTTACCAAGTTTTAGGCGGATGTTAATTTGATGAAAATGGGTCTGTACCACGGACTACTAATAAAGGATAAACACTTGATACTTTTCAACATAATCTAATAAAAATAGTATATTCGAAAACTACTAATTTTTAAGTTTTGAAAACTATATAAAAAATGAAAAACTATCTTAAAACTCCTAGAAACAATAAAATTAATTATTTTTATAAAATTGAGTGTTTTTTTTTACATTTCTAATATACTATCGTGAATTAGTTAAGTGTTTTAAAAGAGAAAATGCCCATGCTACATCTTCTGTAATTAGAAATATGTTTATATGACCTTAAAACATTTTGTACATTATCCACATTAATTTATTTTCCATTTAAAGTGGAATCCATGGTTGTATTTTAATATAGTTTTATAACTACAATATTTTAATCTATTTTTTAAACTATTTTTTAATTGTTTTATTGCACGTTCCAAAACATTTTACTGCACAAAAATTCGGTCTGTAATTATTATACATGAGATTCGATACATAATTAAAAATGAAAAAGGACTAGATCTTAGCTATAAGTTCGAGATTCTCCATGAACTCAATTTTAACGATAATAAAATTTGTAAAGCATTTTCCTTGGCTCGCTTAAACTTCCCTAGGTTTGGGACAAATCCTATTTAAAGCTAATGGGATGAAGCTCTTCCCAGATTGGATTGAGTTGGCTTCGTAGCTTTTCGGCACCTGTTGCATTCACAGTTACAACCATTTAAATAATAATTATTATCACACTACAAAGATATCTTTAACGACTCAAGTTTATAGCATAATAAATTTAAAAGAGCGCTACTTTAGAATGATAAAAAAGTTTGTAGTTTTGTTTTGTAATGCAGCTGTGTTCAAAGCAAATAACTTTTTTTCTATTTTTTTTTTTCATTTAGACCACCATTCTTATGTAAATGCTACAATGAATATACATGAAAAACCATTCCAGTTCTTTCCACTACGGAATAGTTACGTAATAAGGAAAAAGTCAAGGAGAAACACCTGCGAAAATTGACGGAAAAGGACTATGTTACTCCAACAAACAAAATAAGTATCTCTTCCTTCTGAACAGCCTTGATTACAAAAAATGCAAATTTTCATATACAGAAACAAAATATTGAAATTCGACACAACATTTCTAACATGTTTACATATTACAAACCACTCTATGTCCATTTTCTATTTCTATTTCTATATCATATTTTATTTCAAGAATGTTTTCGTTTTCATGCCATATCGAAAATTCAGTGAATTTGCCAGTTCAACCACCCTTTCCAAACTTTCCAAATCAAATAAATTTTGATAAAGAAACAGTGGCAGTAGGTAAATGATATTGAGACCGAACACAAACATCAAAACACTACTAAAAACGTGACAAAACTGAGACGTGCCTAAAAGATACTGTAATCGAGATTGGCCATTTATATGGCGATATTTTCATTTATCAACTCAGATATTTTATTTTTATAATTTTATCATTTTTGTGTTTACATATACACATTAAATGAATTGCGAGAAAAACCTTGATTGCACAAAGAGCCCGTCGTTTTTTGTTTTTTTTAATTTAACAGAGAATGTTAATATTGTTTATGATAGCAAGAAATCAAGGATGGAAATATGAAAACTGCACTTCAGATTTCAACAGAACAATAAGCTGAATATAAATATTAAAAAAAAAGAAATGATGAATAAATTAAAACAAAATGGAATCTTCCTTCATATGAAATGGAAATTAATACAATAAAACAAGTTAATCAAGGTAATAGAATTGAATATAAACAAAGATACTAGATAAATACTTGAACATATTCCTGAACTTATAATTAAATATTCCCCAGGTAGTTGAAGGCGTCGTTGTCGCCCACTCTAAATATTTTTAAACAACCTGTCCATTCCTTATTGGACATTTTTTCTTTCCCTTATTATGAAATTACTACCTTTAAAAAAAAAATAATGAAGAAAAAATTTAAAACATTAGTCTTATATTTCTTCCTTGCATTTCACAAAACAAAGGCTTTTTTTTATATGAATTGAATATTAACATTTTATAGAAAATCTGTTTTTTTTTTTCATATTTAAATGGACCTCTTCATTAACGTAATCCAATTGAGGGATGCTCAGAAGAGGGTTCCATGGCGGTAGCTGCTATCAAAATTCTCGAGGGGCATATTTTGAATTTTTTATGAGTTGGGGGAATATTTTGACGAGGTTATGAATACGAGAGAACTATATTTTTGTGGTGATTCAACTCGGGAAGAGCTTTCAAACCAGGGAACAAGGAGGAAATTGGGGAAGAGCACATAGGAAGTGACAACGCTGAAAGATGTTCATTATCACGCACGTTTTGTAAAAAGTGAAAATAAAATAAGTAATCAGACTGATGAATCAAACGCAGTTCTTTTTATTCACAAAATTTCAGAAGTTAAAAAAAAAAAAATGTTTCATACAATGTAATAATTCATGTTACAATGTGACATACGTTATATTAGTTTGAGGGGAATTGATTATTTTTTAAGATTACACGATTACATTTTTTAAAAATATACTGATATTTTTTTTTCAAATTGGGATTTAAGTTTGTTTGAAGTTCAATCGATTTTTTTAACGAACATTTGAATTTTTTTTTTGGTAAATTTAAACCTGAAATCTAGTATATATTTATTATTTATAATAAACGTAATGATCATAATAATATATATCAACTTTGGTGACCAATCTATTAGCTGGTTGGAATTCAATTGTAATTTTTGGGCGTCGAAATTCGCCAACTTCAGGAGCATGTAAAATATAAACAATAAGATTAAGACTGCATTGTTTAAATAATAAAAAAGGTCCTTATTTAGCTAAAAACTTGGAATAAGTCTTGGAGGTATGATGGGGAACTGGAGGTGTGGCCTCAGTCCACTGTATCCAGACGTATAAATCTGCCAAATACGATACTGTCCAAGTGTCTCTCAGTTCCACTTTATAAACATGTATTTATAAAAGTTATTAGAATATATTTTAAATTAAATGTTTTTTATTCAGGGATGTAGATAAAACAGACAATAATACTTTAAGATAGTAGATTGTTAGTTGACTGTCGTAGATATATTGAAGAGAAATTGATCGGGTGCTCAGTCAAATAAAAGACAAAATAAATGAAAATAATTAGGGTGAACGCACCAGTTATGGACAGGGGGCCCAGTGTGGAAAAGTGTCCAACCTTAAATGTAAATAATTAGCTTCCTAGTCGATTTAAAGATTCCAGTTCTCCAAGATTGAAAAACAATGCCCTCTATTGACAACTATATCAACAAAGTTCCCAAAGGAAAGTTTTAAAAATGCCTATCATTGTTGTTTCTATACTGCTAGTGAGATCAGTGTGTTTTATACCTTCCTAATAACAGTTTTGATAAGATTAAGTAATGTTATCTTATCATTATCGTTATCTTTATAGTTAAATAAAAATTTAGAATGTTTCTCACGGATGTTCATTAACGGTACCGACCCCCAGTCCATTACTGGAACAATGGAAGTTCGGAGTGTCCATCATTAGTGCAAAAAGATGTTTCTTAAAATGGAGATTATACCGGCATAACTGAATATTTTTTCAATTTTCAATAGCTAAATAGAAAAAAGAGACCCTAGAGAAGGCAAACGGAGAATTTTATAACTATTATGATTACGTGGGCATAAGTAAAAAAATACATAAATTTCCTTGGCTATGTTCATCACTGGTGCGCTTACCCTAAGCGCAGTAAAAATAAATAAATTATATTTATTTTTATTGCTTTATTACCTTGTGGCTATAAGGAAATAAAAATAAATAGAATTTATTTATTTTTTGTGGTCCTTTCTTTGGCTGAACATCCCCACCAACTTCTCTTCAATAATATTTCTAAGTGTTCACTGCTCCTAGATGACCTCGAACCGATAGCAAATGCTGAATCATTCCATCCAATTTCGGTATGTATATAAAGAGTTCCTTAAAATCTTAAAGTTAAATGATAAGTTATCTGTTCTAAGGGTCCATGTCCCAAGAGTAAGTACAAATATATTTTTCTATATCTCCGCGCCAGTAAACAACAAAAATACAAACATTATCGATTAAGGAGACAATTATGTTTATTTATGAGGAGTGACAATAAAAGAAGTCGTTGGGAAGTTGTTTACGACAGAGGATTCTCCCTCAAGGTCTCGGGCATTATCAGATCTTTGGAACGCTTAACTGTAAATTTTAGATATTAAACAAAAACAATTAATTAATTAATTAATAATATTCAAATAGTACTTTTGTACTTGTTTGTTGTTTTAGACTCGTATGCTCGACATCACAGACGTCCTTCAATGGACCTTGGCCGTGAGGGAAGTCATTAAGACTTATCATTAGTTGTTAATTACTACACTTTATCTTACCATACGTGCAAATGTATGGTCATTAATGTAATGGATTCATAAATTAAATTTGCACCATCCCACAGAGTAAGGCAATTTACAAACAAAATCTTATTATTTAGTAGATTTTTTCTTTATGTCCTCAGTGGAAGGACTTTATTATATGTATATATTAGTATTGTTATACTTCTGTATGTAATTTATTAAATAAACGTTTTTGGGGAGCTGGAAAAAAAAAAATATATATTTTCTTTAGGCGGTCCCTCCACGCCCAGTGGTATAATAAAAGACCTCTGGTCACAGATGCAAAGTACGCATACAGCGTGCATAACCCTTTAACCTTAAAATGCCCTTGGGCAATAAAAGGAAATTAGAATTTTTTTTTTGTATATATATTTCATTATGCATATATATATCGTATTTTGTATAGTAAATAAATTCCTGGAGGATAGGAAAAAAAATAAAAAGATTTTTTCTCACAATTTCTGCATTAACACCTATTATATATTTTGATTTTTCTTTTCTTTTTCAAAACCGAAGATAAAGAAGTATTTATTCATGCAGGAAGCAAAATAAATTATTGTAATCATAATCGAAAATTTCATCTAACGTTTTACGTAATAGAAATCAAGGAACAGATTTGGGGCTTTTTCATACTTTGAGCACACCAGTGATGCTATATTTTTACATTTTCGTCTCTCTAACACGGCGTCGCGTTAACATACTATTTTGAATAATAGCTCATTGCAAAGAGGATGAAATGGTGAACTTTCCCCTCGCTTACAGTACGCAGATCTGACTTGGTTTCTGAGTTATTTTAATCCATATCTTCAACAAACCGATTATCTGTTGGGTTTCGACAATATTTTTTCCTTTTTGCCTCTCTCACACGATGCCAAGTCAAGAAACAATTTTGAATAATGGGTCATTACAAAGAGAATGAAATGTTGAACATTTACCACGCTTACAGTATTCAGTTCCGATTTTAATCCATTTATGAGATATTTTAATCCATATTTTCAACCAAACTCGTTTCCCTTTTTCCTTCTCTAACACGTTAAGATACAATTTTGAGTAATAGCACATTACAAAAAAGATAAAATTCTGAACATTTCCTTTGCTTACAGTATCCAGGACCAGAAATACAACTAGCACCAGGAAGTCCTCCAGATTCTGGAAGCATGGCCGAAAACGACATACAAGGAGGAATAAGATAGACCAACAACAACTGCTAGCTGTGTGCACATCCTTGCTCGTGTTAACTAGCAGTAATAGTGTGTGTTTTAAGCACTCATGCCTAATAACACACTATTGCAAACACCCGTACTGCCATAGTGGCATTCCATCCAAAGGGGATAGAATATATAAATAAATTAACAATAACTTTGTTTAAAAAACTGACAATTTGTGAATTAACATTACATATTGTCAGTAATATATTGATTCAATAATCTCAGGCTAAACTCATTTAGAAACCACTACAACACCGCGCAAAATAAAATACGAGCTCAATCATTTTTTAGATTGAAATAAATTAGAAAAATTGAAATAAAAATAAATTAGTGATGTAGAGATGGTTGACCGTGATATAATATGAGAAGGAGTTGATCGGAGGGTGCGGTCAAATAAATACTAAATTATAGAAATGGTATTATTTAATTATTACGCCTTTTAATAATTAAATAAAAATAAATTAGATTTATAGTGTTTTTAAATTTAAAAAAATGTATAGTGTTATATTGCATCATGTTCCTGGTTTAGTTTGCAGATAAACCCTTTTATCTTGTGATAAATACTTAGAGAAAAACATATTGTTCACAGAAAAAAATTGCAAATTGGACCTTCTTGGCTAAAATTGCAGATTGGCCCTTCAACATGATCTATATTATATATATGCTGTGGTTACTATATTTTGTAATAAAATATTTGTCTCCATTAATACATTTTTTTTTTAAGAAAAAAATGTAATATTCACTTATAAAATTATAGTGATATGTATCACTTTCAAGAAAAACGCGTCACACGAAAAGAGTTGTTGGCAAATATGACGTCACGTTTCTGAGCCGAACAGAGATAACAGATTACATAACGATCGTGGTTAGAGTTAATAGATAAAGAATAACCTAAAAGGTAGGCAGTTTTCTCAGTGACCTTGTCTTCTTTGCGTTATCGAGTCACGGATCTTTCGCTACTTCAGACTAAAGTTGGTATGATAGTTCAAGTAACAAGTAACAACAAAACAGAATCATGCGGATGAAGTTGAGACAAAAATACCATATTTTTCAATTAAGCCTTTACATGCCAGAACATCAAATAACAATCCATTTGAGGTTATAACTGGAAAAATTCCAAACCACACAGCCTCATGTCTCCAAAATGAAGGCAAAGAAATATTCGTCAACGTTTCGCCAATTCAGCATCACCAGGACAGAAAATCAGCAATAAATTCAAACACATACCGATTTCTATTGATCAGTATGTGTTCGAATTAAATGGAGTGATGTTCTATCAGCCGTTTTTCTGTCTTCGTGATGCCAGAATTGGCGAAACATTGACGAGTTCTTCTTTGCCTCCATTTTGGAAATATAAGGCTGTGTGGTTTGGAATTTTTCCAATAATAAATTAATATTTATGTTCTGTCTCTTGATTATTTTGTTACTAATTTATAATAACAATCCACTATATATCACAAAGAGTAATCAAAAAAATATTTATTTAGACATTTAGGGATAGGTTTGTGCCCATTCCCACCTGTAGAATGTCGCATGACCTATCCACTTCCAAGAAATATTGTTATTCTCTTCTTAAAAACGGTGCAGTTGAAAGCAGAATGATAAAAACTGTAGATTTACCCCTTGTTCCTGGATGAAGATACGTTTAGACATTTCACAAACTATGGAAAACACAATTATGTAACCCTACATAACCCTACATAGTGACATTAATGCTAAACCAAACTATTTGTTTTATTTCTCTTGATACCGACAGCAGGTGGAAAATATCAAAAACAATAAACGGAATTACTAGCATAGTGAAAAAACCACTACATACCTGTTTCTTGAAAGTTTCTCATTAATGAAACTCACAAAAATGTGCTCTAAAAATTCATAAAAAAAAATCACCTGAATCATTTAAAATCAAATCATCTAATGAAAAAGAAATTTAGGTATATCACTTATACCAACTAAATGTGTTCCTGTCCGAAACTTTTCAATTTTTTTTCTTGAATAGTTTCTGAATATAGATTTTTAAAAATTCTATACACAATCGAATTTTACTTTGCTAAAATGCCTATTGTGAATTATAAAAAAATTTAAGGTGCTTTTGTAATTGAATAAATATTTTATAGATGAATGAATATCCGAAATGTATTGTGAAAATTAGATTACTCTTTCATGTTAAATGATTGTGTTAGTGATCCTATCATTTCTTTACCTTGAAATATTGTATTAAAGTAACCAATATACATGGATGGATAACGTACATTATTTTTTTTTTTTAATCTGAAATGACATGTGCTAAAATTTTTAAAATTCGGAAAACAAGCAAAAGATAATTAAGAGATTGTCCTGTTACACATCAAATGAAGCCAGAATAATAATATTTGAAATGAGTTATCAAATATCCGTCAAACATCATTCATTGAAAATCTATGAGCACTTTTATGATTGAAAAAACAATTCTGCTGTTCGCGGACAATTTTTAAAAATCTACATTAAAAAGTAGTAAAAAATATTTTTTTTTAAATAGTTGTACATATATGTATGTGATTGGGCATTATTGGTTTATGGTCAATAATTTGATAAATAAGTTTACGAATTTAATTTTTTTTTAATCCTGGTATATAGGTACATTTTTTTCAGGCGGCTTATGCTTTTGAAGATTCATAATATATGACTGTATGCTACACGACCAAAAGAAGCGATGTCGGAACAGCTTCATTATAATTCATGACTCGCCATGTTACCATATTGACATTCATTCATTGTTTCCTGAGACAAGGGACATCCACCACTGACGTTATTTTAGAAGTTGAAGTATATGCATTCGACTATAAAAACTTAAAAGTGTATATGTGCAAGGCAAAAAATGAACGACTGGAGGAAGTACGCATCTCTAACTCCATTTGAATCGGCAGTAAAAAATTTTTTTTTTTATAAAACTCAATGAAAAAGGATTCCTTTCAGCCAATTTTGTTGCAGAGATTCTTCAATAAAACGATAACTTCATTGTTTGTTTATTTGGGCTTTAAGGCGTAAAACCCTAGGGACATCAACGCATGTTTGTTCATTTTTGTTCTCTGGAGTTTAGAAACTCCTAATAAACGAAAAAAGGAAACAAATAATATAAAATAAATTTTTAAAAATAATAGAATAAAATAAATAAATAATAATAAAAAAATAAAGATACTAAATAAACAAAGAAAAATATTAAAAATTATGTGTATTTCTATATTTTGTTAAATAATCTATGGGTTTTAAGGGAACTTATAACTGCTTTTATGTTGATTCATTATTATTTAATATCACTGATACATCCGGTCAATGAGATAATCTATTTACGTTTGAGGTTTAATAGCGGCATTTCTGAAAAATATGGCTGACAGTGTAGGGCTATTGTAGTATTGGCATGTTGAAGGAGGGTGGATGTTTATTGATAAGATATAAATGAGTCAAATTTAAATTGAAACACTCCTGCTACCTCCTTTACTTACTCGATACTTAAACGTGATTTCAATAGAAGAAGAAACTACAAATTGACTGAAAGAAATCCTTTGAGTTTCATAAAAGCGTTCCTTTTTCATGAAAAGTTCAAGTGGAGTTAGAGGAACGACAGTACATATCACCTCATACTTTGTTGGAAAAAGTTCAAAATTAGACCTTATTAAGACGAAGACTTAGGTACTTAGATATGAAATCCATTGAGCGTATGCTTTACATAGTTGTACGAGGAACTGATTAAAATCAATCATTTGAGAGCTTTAATGGTTTCTATTAGAGAAATGACATATAGCTACCATCAGTGCAAAAGGTCGCATGTAAAACTGACTTTTTTTTTACAGAATAACATAAAACCTACTATTTCTTTAGGATTTATTAGCCATTTTTTTGTTTAAAAGATTACTTATAATAGTTACAGATTACAAAATGTCACCTTCAGCGCAAAAGAATAAACATGTCAAATCGTTACATAAGGCTTTTTGCACTAACAATAGCGATATACTATCTTAATAATGGTTTTTGGCTTCTTTTTTCTTTAATGTTTGCTCTCATTAATAAAAAGAAACCGCTCGACGTTTCCGCTTATTTCAGCACTTACTAAATAAACGCTCTAAACTTCCAATTAATTACAAAAGACTTATATACATGACTATAATAAGGCCTATTTGGACTTACGGAGTTGAGCTATGGGACTCCACTAAACCATTGAATTCCTCTCGTATCCAATCCTTTCAATCCAAAATCCTTCGTAAAATCCTCAATGCTTCCTACTTTGTTACAAATAAAACCATCCATAATGACCTTAATGTTTCTTATGTTTCAGATCTGGCCCAATCTAGATACCTATCCTTCCATAATAAACTTCAGAATCATCCCAACCCTCTCGTTTCTAACCTTGCTTCCTCTTCAATTCCTGATAACCCTCCGAGGCGTCTGAAAAGAAGATGGCTCCGTGATCTAATGTAGACATATCATTAGAGTACTACCATTGGGTAGTTACTCAGTAAGTGTTTTCACGTCATTATATCCATATGTTCAAATTTACTACATGTATTTCTTTAATACGGTTGTAAATATCATTAAGAAATAATGAAAAAAAAAGTATTATTATTAACGTTATCATCTAGAAATTGCATCGACTTCTATGTTATTCGGGACAAGACGCTATCCTCATCCATCTCGTCACGCCGATGGGTAGCACTTATTCGAAACAGGGTCATCGGTTACGGTTTCCGCTGGAGGAGGAATGCAATTGAAATCATGGCAAGAGAAAGGTAGTAACTAAAGGGAGAGCAGAGGAAAAGTCTAATGGCTTGTAGGAAATCTTGAGCGCCTCGTTCATGCTCGAAAGATACCACAGAGGTCACTGAGACACAGAAGTAATTTGTCCGTAGGCTGGTTCCAGCTAATCGCTTCAGGTAGAGCACTCCCGCGCCCCACGATCGATCCCAGACTGACGCCAAAACCTTCAACAACGCTTTGGTTTAATGATGTCTCTTTCCTAGTAAAGATAAACCACTAGAGATAGGGGAA